GTATAGAAGAAGAAAGGAAAAGGAGAGGTGTCAGTTACCATCTCATTTGCCCCAAGCAGCAATCCCATCTGTCTGATTTGATCCTCCTTCCTCCACTGCCCCCATGTAGGTTTTAAAAACCTTTATTGCTTCCTCAGCTCATTTGTAGCGTTTATGGCACCATTGTTATAGGACCATGCCATGCTTTTGTTTGTGCCCTGTGCATTAAAAAAAGAAAGTTTTAGTGGTGTCTTTTATTTTTATGTCACCTATACCTCCCACTTTATTCCTCAACTTTCCAGAGAGCCATCCATTATGATGAGCCATAAAATAGAGGAGGGAAAAGTTCAGCCAACCATAGTGAAAAGGTCCGATGTTGGGTACAGTGTTCCACACCTCTCGGCTCCCACTTCTTCGAAGAAATGGGAGGGAGTACCTTCTCGTAGGTCTCCTTTGGCGCCAAGCTTGGTCATTATAGACTGGCAGGATTCAGTTTGGGTTGCTTATTTCAGGGGTTAGGTGGGCCACCTGTTTTTATTTGGCCAAGGAGCTAAGAATGGTTTTTACATTTTGAAATAAGATTTTATTGGATTTTAAAGTGTAGAAACCATTCTTAGTTGTCAGGCAGCTGGCTAACTGTAGTTTGCCAGTCCTTGTTTTAGTTGCTACTGTTCTTTTGTAGCTGTAAACATTATATTCCAGGTTCTTCTTACTTCATTTTACGTTGGTTCTCTGTACGTGTCTTTTAAAAATCTCAGTTGGTTGGTGAGTTCCCTGTGCATCCACATTGATCTCTTAAGACAAGTCCCAGTCTTCCCCCTCATTAGAATTGTTTTCCTTTATGTCTTCAAAATTTCCTTCTGGAAAACTTCCCATTTCTCCTGGGCTGACTTTCCCTGTAGAATTTTAGTCTACTTAAACCTTTTAAAATCTTCTGTCACAAAATTTCAGGTTCTAGCACTTAGCACGGTACCTGATACATAGTAGGTGCTTAAACATGCTTACTGACCACCGTGGCCAGTTTTTCTCTCCTCTCTCTCAGTTTCTGGGAAGGGGCAGCCAGTTCTTCCCTGTTAATAAAAATCAGCTCCGATATGGAATTTCACCTTGTTGGTTCCTTCACTTTTTTGAAGGATGAAATCATCATCCTTAGCAGTGTCCTTTGTCTGGTAATATTTATTTAAAGAGGTTTGTGATCTTTTTATGCTTTAGTACTCATAATTCCTTCTTTTTAGTAGCCTCTCTTAGTAATTTATCTGCTTGTGGAATTTTCTTTTTTCCTCATTTCCAGCTGTCACTCATTTTTGGACATTCTCTTCCTTTTGATGGTGGGTATACCCCTGGGTGCTAGGTTGCAAAGCTGCCTCAGCTTCCTCATGTTGGGGAATTTACTTCTCACGGGCCTCACTCCTTGCCCCAAGTAGTTTGGGGGGATGAGGGTAGTAGAGACACAAGAAGACTGACCCCCTTTTCCTTCAGATTCTGTACAGCCACTTAAAACTGACCCACTGCCCCAGTGATAGTTGGGGTAGATACTCTACAGCCTTGGGGTTCTGTACTTTGGAGATTGCCCCAGGCAGAAGGAAACCTGATTCTCTTCCTCTCCTCCGTATGTGACTGGAGGGAGTGAATTTCTGCAGCTTATTGTAGTTGGGTTGGGGGCTGGGTGGGCAGTGAGGTACACTGTCAGCGTTGCTGCAGTAGGAGCATAATCTCTGGGTCTCTCAAACCCATGCCCATGGGTCAGTTTACATGCCCTGCGGTTGTGTGGCAGCTGTAAGGAAAAATACTGAGTGAACACCTTAAAAATGACCATTCTCCAGTGTTAATTCATAGAGCTCTTACCTTGTTGGGGTTTTTGCTTTCTTTTCTTGTGGATTCATCTCAGATTCCACCCCTGACACACAATTCCTCTTTTGGGGAGCATTGAGAGTTATTGCAGCTTGGAGAAAATGTCTGGTCCGTCATCTTGTGATTTCCATGCCTAGAACTGCAGAAAGAGTAGTGTGGCAGGAGGTCTCTGGCATAATACCCCAGGGGTCTCTGGCCTGGTCCTGTTCAACATTTCTTTTCAGTGTCTTGGAAAGGCTTAGTGGTCACATTTGCAAATGGCACAAAACTAACAACACTGAATGACAAAATCAAGATCCAAAAGGATAGAGCATGGGGACTAACCCAGTAAGATAAAATTCAATAGAGATAGATGTAAAAATCTTACACTTGTATAATATGGAAGCATGAGTAAATAGCAGTTGTTCCTCCCCCCACCCCCCCAAAAAAAGATCTTGGGGTTTCTATGGACTGCATGCTCTATGAGTCAGCATTGTGAAGTGGGAACCAAAAGAAGCTAATGAGATCTTGGGCTGCATGGGGCTCTGCCTTCCTCAGACCTCATTTGTGTTCATCTCTGTGCAGTGCACTTTAAGAAGGACCCGGGTACATTAGAGAATGTCCATAGGAAGGCAACAAGGATGAGGATGGGCCTTGAGTCCATGGCCCCTGACACATGAGGACTGGTTGAAGGAACTGGGAACGTTTAGCCCGGAGAAAAAAAGAGTCCATGGGGGATGTAAGAGCTGTCTTTAAGAATCCAAAGGCCTGTCATGGGGGCAGGGGATCAGGCTTAGCCTGTTGGGTCACGGAGAGCAGACCCAGGAGCCCAGGGTGGAAGCTGCAGAGATAGGTTTGGGCTTGCCAACGGTCAGAGGGTCCCAAAGTGGGATGGGCGGCCTAATGAGCTAGCTGGGCTCCCTCTGCTCGGAGGTCTTCAAGCAGAGGCAGAATGACTGTTTGTCAGTGGGAGTAGATGCCTGCCAAGGTCCCATCCAGCTTTCAATTTCTGTGGTTCTGTGAGATGCCTATGGGACAGCCAGGCAGTTGGTGAGGTAGGGCTGAAGTTATTTACAAGGAGATCACAACTTAACCTACAGCAGCTAATGAGCAGATCAGAGAAAGCAGAGAGAAGAGGGCCCAGACCCTGGACTTAGGCGCCCACGGTCAGGGGCTGGGATGTGGATGGTGATCCCTCAGGGGATGCGAGGAAGGAACCGTCAGATGGTAGGAGGAGAACCAGGAGAGGTGCAGAGAGGATGCGGAAGGATGAGACTGAGAAGAAGCCATTGACTTCAGGGGTTAAAAGATTAGCTTCAGAGAGATGGTGGGAAGGTCCGGAGCCGGGTGGCCGGTGCTGAGAAGTGAGTGGGAGGTGAGGCAGTAGAGGCTTATAAAATCACTTTTGTTTTTTATTATGAAACCAACAAACATGAACATTTCAATATATGAAGAATAGTCGGTCTGCAGGCATTTATTAAGTGCTTATTATGGCCCAAGCACTATGCTAAAACCTGAGGAGGAGAGAGAGAAAAGCCAGAGTCTTTGCCCTCAAGGAGCCTCCATTCTAGTGGGGTGACCTACAGGTATGGGGTAGGTGAAGGCAGCCTGAAGGGGAAAAGTATTCGCAGTCCAACCTGGTAGTCACAGAACCTCCCTGCTGAGCTTCCTGCTGATCTCTTTGGAGTATTTTTGAATGTCTCGTAGACACCATTCTTCCTCCTCTTCCTCCTCGTTGCCATCACTACTGATCAGCTACCCACCCACGTGGGCCCTCCCTTGTAACAAATACTTAGAGTCAAGGAAAATAAGTCATCACATCTGAAACCATACACATCGCTCTGTACTGAGGTTCGTTGCCTCTCTGCCAGGAAGTCAAACGCAGGCTTCCTCCCTCATCTCGTCGGTCTTCTGGAGTCCTGCGGGGTCCCTTCATTGATTGGGGTTCTGGAGTCTTTCAGAGTGCCTTTCCTTTGCAGTATTGTGACCATAGTGTATATTATTCTACTGGTTGTGCTCATATTTTCCCAGGTTTCTCTGAATCCCCAATATTTTAAAGCACAATGTCCCATTACATGCATAGACCATCATTTGTTAGCTGTTCCCCTCATTGGTGGGCACCCACTATTTTTTTCCAGTTCTTGATAGAACAAAAGATGCTACTATAAATATTTTTTGTATCTAAGGGACCTTTCCCTCTGTTTTGACCTCCTTGGAGTTATGCCTATTAGTGGTTACAGATGACTTTTTCTAAGAGTTTATCTGTGAAAAGGAAGAAAGATATAGGACAATAGCCTGAGGGTTAATGTCTTTTTAAGATTAGGGACTACCTGGTATGGTATGGTATGATTCTAGGCAGTAGGAAAAGAACCAGTGAAATAGAGATCTGAAGATTAGAGAAGGGTGGAGGGAATGATCGAAAGGGTAAGCTCTGGAAGAGACACTGCTACCACGTTAATCCAGGTCATTATCAGGCTGCCCCTCCAAGCCATCCTCCACAAAGCTGCCGAATTCATGTTCTTAAAGCACAGGACTCACCTAGTTACTCCTGTGCTCCAGAAGTTTCCATGGCTCCCATTGCCTCTTGGATAAAATACAAAATCCTCCGCTTGGCCTTTATAGCCCTTCACATTCCGGCCCTAGCCTTTCCTTCCAGGCAGATTATACATTCTTCCCCCTCGTACCCTCTCTATTCTAGCCAAACTGGCCTCCTGTTCCCTGTCTGGGACATTTCGTCTGCCCCCGTGCCTTGGCACGGTCTGTGTTCCCATGCCTGGACTGCTCTTCCATCTCACTTCTTCCTCGCAGACCTTCCCAACGGAAGGTGCTCGGGTGCCACCCTCTCCAGACAATCTTTCTGGTCATTAGAACTGCCCCATCCTCTCACCCCCCAGCTTACTTTGTATTGTTCTGTGTGCACTGTGTATGGACTTCTCCATGTATGTGCTATTTCCCCCTCGTAGAAGACATGCTCCATGAGGGCTTTTCACAGATGTCTTTGTGGCCTGAGCCTTGCACAGTGCCTGGAAAAGAGACTGTCCGTAAATGCTTCTTGAATCTGCCCTTGGGGTTTCCCTAAGGGCCTGGCCCATCTCTGCCTGCAGCTGCATATGAGGGTGTCGGCTGTAGAAGTGACTTTGCCTGGAGCAAGGGGCAGATTCCTTCACTTCCACTCTGTCCTATGTCCCCAGCCCTGAGGACCCTAGGAAAAAGGAAGAGGAAGATGAGGAACTGGAGGAGACTGCCCAGGAGAAGAAGCTCCGGCTAGCTAAGCTGTACTTGGAACAGTTGAGGCAGCAAGGTAAGGCGACGTGATGGGAAGCCTGGGTCTCTTCCCTGGCTTGGGCGGGGGGGCACCTCTTCTGCCTTCTCTGGGCTTCACTAGGACATGCAAAACTGCTGGCGTTTTCCTGGGTGTTGCCGCCTCTGGGCCTCCAGCATGAAGAAGCCAGCATGGGGCTCTGGGAGCCACCTGCCTGACCCCACAGCACCATCTCCTCTCCCTCCCTCCCCCTACCCCCTGCCGTCTCTAAGCTTCCTTGGGTGGCTGGGCCTGGGCCACCTGGTGGGTGATTGATGCCAGTGCTGGCATTTAGCCTGGTGGGGGGCAGCCTGAGTCCTGAGCTAACTTCCCTGGGAGGTAGAGAAGGGAAGACTTTAATAGGCCTCCTGAAGGGAGAAGCCCCAGGGGCCTACAGTTACTTAAACAGACTGAGGCTATAAAGTGGCTTGAGATAGGATTGGGGGCAGCCTGTGGATCCAGCAGGAGGGTTGGGCCCTGGGGGCGTGCAGGGAACCTGAGGGACACCTGTCCCAGGCAGAGTTTGGGTGGAGAGTGAAGATACCTTTGGGCATTGCTTCTTTCCCCTACCCCGGGTCCTTACCTGGTCTGTGTTCTGCCCTGGGCAGAGGAGGAGAAAGCTGAAGAAGAGGCCTTTGGGGATGACCAGGTGGCTGGGCGTCTAAAGGAAGATGTGGTAAGTGGAGGCTTGACCATGGCAGGTGGGTCTGCCCCTGGCCCACAGGGCTCCAGAGAGTATCATACTCTTTCTTCTGCCCACAGCTTGAGCAGAGAGGTCGACTTCAGAAGCTGGTGGCAAAGGAGGTGAGTGAGAGAGAGATGCTGGTGTTGGGATCCTGACTCAGTGGGGATCTGGGCACTCCCTCTTTCTGGACCTGTTTCGTCTTTTGTAGAGTGGGATTGATGTTTGCACTACCCACCTCCCAGAGCTGTGTTGAGAACCTTAAAGGAATAAATCATCAGGCAGTCATGCCTACAGCCTGACCTGCAGTAAATCCCCTCATTCCCTGGGCCTCTTTTCTCATCCATCGAGCAGTAGTTATATTCACCTGGCTCTGAGTCCATTACTCTAGCCACCCCCCACCTTCTCTTGGACTCTGGGGAAGCCAGTTGAGCCGAAGTGTTTCCATTTAGAAACTTGTTTTTGAAACAACTGTCTCTCTGGGAGCTTGGTGACTGCGAGATGCTCCAGCTTTCTTTAGTCCTCAGAAGACGTTAAGCTCCTCTGAGCCCAGGAAGGTGCGACTAACCTGTAGAGCCAGCTCGACCTAAATGATCCTTCAGGGACCCCTAAGTGCCTTGTCTTTTCTCAAATTGGCTGCTTTTCTCCTTGCTTCTGTAACCGAAAGGTGTCCTGATTTTGATACTCTGGACAATTCTGGACCTAACAGATGTCCTGTCCCCTCACATGTGAAGCTTTCTTTTCCTAGTGTAGAGACAGATACATGGACATGAAATGGCCAGAACAGTCCCTAGTCATTATTGTCTGATAAAACTTGGGGCAGTCTGACCTACCAAGCAGAGAAGTGTTATTTCTTTGCTACCCTTGCGGGCCTGCGTGTGGTTTCTACTCTAGCATAGCGAGGGAGAATGAGGCCTCAGGTTATTGGGAGCTTTGGGGCCCCGGTGGAGTTTACTGTTCCTTCTAGTGCCAGCTGACAAGGCCCCCTGTCCTTGGCAGATCCAGGCTCCAGTGGCCGCAGACATCCGGGTCCTTCGGGGCCACCAGCTGTCCATCACGTGCCTGGTCATCACCCCTGACAACTCAGCCATCTTCTCTGGAGCCAAAGACTGCACCATCATCAAATGTGAGTGAGCAGGGAGGCCCAAGGTGGGGCTTGTCCTGTGCACAGGACACCAGGCGGTCTTTCTTCCTCCCTTCTCTTCCCCAGTCAGTGACTGAACCCCTCCTTCCATAGCCAGGGCCATTCAAGTGGGTGGGAAGTTCTGGAAGGTGAGACTCTTGGGTCTGATTCTCATATCTGCCCTGGCTTTCTTCTCTGTCTGCCATCAGAAGAGGGCCAGCAGCCAGTCTCCAGCCCTCAGCAGTGCTCTCTCCTTACACCTTCCTCCCTACCACTGCAGGGAGTGTGGAGAGTGGGAAGAAGTTGCACCAGATACGGAGGGTGAAAAAGGGAGCTGAGGGCCAGCCGCCCGGGCACGCTGACCACATCCTCTGCATGGCTATCTCCTCAGACGGCAGATACCTGGTAAGGGAGCCTGCTGGGAGCATTAGACAGGGAGGGCAGGCGGGGGGCCGGGCATGAGGCCTCCCCGAACTGTGCGTTTGTGTTCCCCTAGGCCACAGGAGACAAGAATAAGCTGATCCTGATCTGGGACGCAGATACCTGCAAGCACCTCTGTACCTTCACAGGGCACCGGGATGCAGTGTCGGTAAGAGTGTTGGGAATGGGACAGGCGGGGCTCAGGAGACACCCATCTCCCTGGTTCCTGAGGGCTTATTCTAGAAGATTTTGTGAGGCCATTAAGGCCTTCCTTCTGTCTTTGGGCAGGGCAAGTACCCCTACCATGCTGGTAAGCTTACCCTTGGGGAAGTTCTTCCGTTTCTGTCTAACTTTGGCCTCTTCCCCTACAGCATGGGCCCTGAGGCTCTGGCTGCCCTAATACCTGGCTCTCCCCCTACCTTATTTAGGGCCTGGCATTTCGGAAGGGCACGCACCAGCTGTACAGCACATCCCACGACCGCTCTGTGAAGGTGTGGAACGTGGCCGAGAATGCCTACATAGAGACCCTGTGAGTGGGAGGTTGGCAGGCTGGAGCAGTGCTTCACATGGGGAGGAGGGCATCCCAGTCGAAACTCCTCAGCCAGGCTTTTGAGCTTTCTTGTCATTGGCCCCATGCTTCGTCTCGTCTCTAGCCTCCTCTCCCAGAGTCTTTTTTTTTTTTTTAAATTTTTATTTATTTATTTTTTTAGGCAATTGGGGTTAAGTGACTTGCCTAGGGTCACACAGCTAGTAAGTGTCAAGTGTTTGGTCTGAGGCCAGATTTGAACTCAGGTCCTCCTGACTTCAGGGCTGGTGCTCCATCCAGTGCGCCACCTAGCTGCGCCTCCCCAGACTCCTTGATACAGATGGATCCTAGCATCGTGATATGGAAAGGAGCCGGGCCTTTGTAGGGGGGCAGCTGAGGCCCAGGGAGGGGAAAGACCGTGTCTGAGGCCTCAGGGTTAGGAGGTTTCTAGGATTTAGAGCAAGATTTCCTTGTTTTACAGAGTGGGGAACTGAAACCTAGAGAGGCTGTGACTTAGCTAGGGCACAGACACTCCCAGAGCCACCGCCAATCTTTTTGCCCTTTCCCCAATGTGCCCCTTACCTGTTTGCGCTCCCTGCAATGCCGCTGCGGCCCTGGCCCCTTCCGTCCTTTCCATCTTTCAGAGTCTGCCTGCTGTCCACCCTGGGCTGCCCAGCCCCGCCGCTGCTGCCTGTGCTCTGAGCTCTGGTCGCCCTCACTGACCGTGCCCTCCAGTGGCGCTGAGCACACCTTTCACCCTCCCTCATCAGTCTCTCATTTCGCTTTTCTCCTGCCCGTGTCTTGTTGCTGGACGCTGAGCTCCCCAAGGGCAGCAGTGGATTCAGAGTCCAGGACGAGGCTCAGCACATTGGATCGTAGAGCTTGAGTTGGAGGGGACCCGAGAGAGCAGCCAGCCGCAGAAGCGGGCTCCCGGAGAAGTAACTTGTCCAGCATGACGCAGCCAGGGAGCCCAAGCACGGCCTCACACGTGTCTTCTGACTTGAGGAGGCTCTGCCTGGTGCTGTACACCATAGATGCTGCTTTGGGGCTGATCCTTTCTCCTCTCTTTGCCTCAGTTTTGGGCACCAGGACGCCGTGATGGCCCTGGATGGACTGAGCCGGGAGAGCTGCGTGACAGCGGGGGGCCGCGACGGCACCGTCCGTGTCTGGAAGATTCCCGAGGAGTCGCAGTTGGTCTTCTACGGCCACCAGTAAGCGGGTGGGAACGAGGAAGAACATGTGCATCACTCCGACCTCCCCAAATCAGGGAGGGACCTGGGGAGGGGATGGTGCAGCTGTCCTCTCAAACTCTGTTCCCTCTTTCAGGGGCTCTATTGATTGCATCCAGCTCATCAATGAGGAACACATGATATCTGGCTCAGAGGATGGGTGAGGGTTCCCCCAGTAGCCACATCCTCCCCCCCCCACCCCCACCAGTGTGTGCACAGATGCACTGTCCCCCGCCTGGTCACCCTCACTTCAGCCCTTCCCGCCTTCCATCCCCCCACTAACGCCTTCATCTCCCTGTCTAAAGCTCGTTGGCTCTATGGGGTCTCTCCAAGAAGCGGCCCCTCACCCTCCAACAAAAAGCCCATGGGATGCGTGGAGAAGAAGGCTTGGAGCAGCCTTACTGGGTGTCATCGGTGACAGCACTGCTCAACACAGACCTTGTGGCCTCAGGTTGGTTTGAACCCCAGACTACCATGCAGGGATTTCTCCCCTCTCTGGGGTAGGCTTAGGGCCAGTGGCTCTCGGCCACCTTGTGGGCTAGGCTGATGGCCTCCCCTAGCTCCAGGTTTTTTTGTTTTGGTTTTATTGTTTTGGTTTTTTTTTTAATTGAGGTCAGGAAAAATGCCTTCTTCCTTGAGTTCATAACACCAGGCATAATGGCACTCATTGTCTCTAGCCCTTTAAGGTTTATAAAGCACTTGCCTCAGGACAGCCCCATGAGGTATGAAGAGCCTCATACAGCTTACGAGACTTGCTCCCAGTCTTCTCACTCTCCTCGCCCCAGTTTAAGGAGCCCTGGTTAAATCATAGGACCTGAAAGGCAAGACCTTTGTCTGAGTAGGAATTCCTAACAAACTGGTGGCCCACTAGCCTCTGCCCAAGGAGATGCCCACTGCTCCCCCACAGGAGATGGAGAGCTCACTGCCTCTGGAGGCGGCCCGTCCAACACTGGGCAGCTCTGGGGGTCAGGAATCGGCCTTCCTGCAGCTTCTCCCATTGCATAGTTTGGGGCTCAAGTAGGACAAATCTGATCCCTCTTCTACCTGGCAACCCTCTGGGTAATCCGGAGCAGATGCCCATGAACCCTGCCTAGCTCGTTTACCCCATGCCCAGATGGTTTGGTTTCTAGCCTTCTTGCCATCCTGGTCACGTCCTAGATTGTCCTAGAATGTGACCCCCTGGATGCTCATGTGTGCTCGTGGTCTGGCTGCTGCTTGGACGTGGGCCCGGGCTGTCCTGGGGAGCCTTGGTGAGGGCCCTGCTCCTGCAGAGCTACAGGAAAGGCTGCTATCCCTTACAGCAATGAGCAGCCGCTTGTGACCCCACAGAACTCGGCAGCTGCCACCACCTTAGAGCCTCAGAGGCAGGAGGTCGAGGTTTGAGCTCTGGCTCTGGGACCTGGGGGCAAGGTAGTCGCCTCCTCATCTGGAAGCATTCCTTCTGGCACTGACTTTGTCTGGTGACAGTACTGTTAGGTTTTTTTGTTTTGTTTTGTTTTACAAATGAGGAAACTGAGGCTCATGGAAATTCAGCCTCTGGGCCCAGGTCACACACAGCTTGTCCCAGTCCAGTATTCTGCATTAAAAACCCTGAGAGAGCATGGGATCCCAGGATTTCTAGTTGAAAGAGCAGTAGTCCAGCCCTCTTATGTTGCATGTGAGGACACTGAGCCCCAGAGAAAGGAAAGGAGTGGCCTCAGGAAACTCGGCCAACAGCAGCGCCCTCTGGGCATGCGGAGATTGGAATCAGTCTCCTGACGCTCACATCCAGTGTTCTTTCTGCTGTACCATGTTCCCTGTACTCAGTATAGGACTCTTGCTCTTGGAGCTACAAAGATAAATAAGATACTGTCCTCAAGGAACCGCCAGTCTGGTAAAGAGAGATGATGCACGCATGGCTTCCGAAGAGCGAACCGTCTGTGATGAGGACACAGGAAGACAGAGCACTAGGAGATCAGAGAGGGGAGAATTCACTTTGGGCCAGAGTGCTCAGGGAAGGTCTCTTGAGGGACAGTCTTAGAGTTGGAAGGGCCCTTAGGCATCCAGTGGGTGCATGGCCACACAGACCATGCCACCGGCCAGTGAAATGTCAAAGTCCTGAGGCCGCTGTGGTGCCTGAGGTGAAGATCAGAAGTCAGGGAGAGGAGGTAGAACCTGAGGGTTGGGAGTGCAGGAGCAAGGCATGAGGAAGAAAAGGAGTCATTGGGTTTTTGAGAACTGACTGAGTTCTGCTAGAAATTTTAATGGACCAGGAGAAATGTGCTTCAGAGAAGCAGCTGGAAAGTGTTGCCCCAGAGGGCTTCATGGAGGAAGCAGTGCCTGAGCTGGGCCCGGGTTTCCTGGGGAAGATTGATCAGCAGGCAGAATTCTGTCTGGCCCCAAGGAGCAAAACAAGAAACAGTGGGTGGAAGGTGTAGTGGGCATTTTGGCGGCCGCTGCCAGAAGGGAATGGGGACTCATGAGGCTCGTGGTTGTGGAAGGAAGGAGGTTGGCACAAGTCTATTGGGTGATTAAATTTGGCCAGACTGTAGAATCATTGTTTGGGACATGGTTGGGGGACAGCCTTTCATTGATGTAGAGAACAATAATTGAGGAAACCTTCCTTTATCCGGGCAGACGGTAACTGTACTGCAGCTCCAGTCTTAAGAGAGTTAGTGTCTGGGACAGTGTTGGGCAGGTCTGGCTCTCCCCTAGGCCTTCTTGGGCATAGGGTGTCTGCCTTGAAAAAGAAAGGACACGCAGCGGGGGGCTGGAGGTCTCTGACTTACTTTCCCTACCCGGCCCCATCAGTTTTTGTGTTTTCTCCTTCTTCCCCACCCCCAGGATCTCACAGTTCCTTTGTGCGACTCTGGCAGTGTGCAGAGGGTTTCCGGAAGTTGGAACCACTCTGGGACATCCCTTTGGTGAGTAGTGGGCCCAGGCAAGGAGATGGAGGCTCAGACTGATGGGGACGAGGTGGTATTCTGGTTCCTGCTCACTGTTCTCCATCCCTACCCTTTAGGTTGGCTTCATCAACAGCCTCAAATTCTCCAGCACAGGAGACTTCCTGGTGGCAGGCATTGGGAAGGAGCACAGGTATGTAGTGTTGGGGAGCCCTGTTAGCCAGGCCCCTCTACTCTGGGGCGGGAGCTGGTGGGGGTGGGCCCGGACTAGGGCTGGGACAGTAGAAGGAAGCAGGCGGGGGCCAAGCCAAGGAAGCTGTGGAGGGAAGGCCTCGAGGCCTCGGCCCTTAGGTGCTCCCTCTCCCCACAGGTTGGGACGCTGGTGGCAAGTCAAAGATGCCAAGAACTCGGTGTGCATCATCCCGCTGCGGAGAGTGCCTCCTGCTGCTGCAGCGGGCTCCTGACCCCTTCCTCCACAGCCCTCTCCTGTTTATTTGACTCTCTTCCCTGCCCCCACTGTTTGTATTAAATTAGCCTGTGGTCAGTCCAGGCCCCAGACGCCCAGCTCTTGTCCCTGTCACCTTGTGGAGCCTCAGTGCCTCCCCCTTCACCCAGAGGCCCAGAAGTGGAGATCGTTTCCCAGCAGAGAGGGGAGACAGAGACGTGACATACGTGGAAGCAGCTGGTGAGAGCCAGAGGATGATGGTGATAACCAGCATTTATATAACACTTTAAGGTTTGCAGCGTGCTGTATATATGTGCATCCTCACCACAACCCTGGGAGGTCGATGCCATTGTTATCTCCAAGGTCCCTCAGCTGATTAGTGTCTGAGGACGATTTGAACTTAGGTCTTGCTGACTCTCAGCCCGGCGCCTGAGTCAGCACAGGGGAGGATGCAGGGCCTGGGCTTGCTGGGCACTGCCCACAGCTGAGGAGGGAAGCGGTCAGGTCAGACCCACCAGAATCCTTTATTGGAGAGGGGAGACCAGGCCCTAGGCAATTAAGACCTTCATGTCCATCACCAGGCCTGTGGCTGTGATCTGGTAGCGGCCGCGCAGGAGCCCCCGGGCCAGGCAGCTGCGCCAGCGCATCTGGATCAGGCGAGCCGCGGCCTGAGCCCTCAGGTAGCGCCGTCGCACACGCCACATGCGGACCATGGCCTGCAGCTTCACCACGGCCCACTCTCGCCTTGCGTAGAGCTGCAGCACTATCCGGCGACGCCGATCTGATAGTCGCGTGTGAGCTAGCCGCCACCAGCACTGGATGATCCAGGCGCAGAGGGCCGCGTGCAGCAGGCTGCGTCGCAGTAGGGTCCCCCGCCACCAGGCCTGGATCTTGATGGCTGCCTTGTCCTAGGCCAGAGTGGAGCAGGACAAGAGCCTACTCAGGCCCAGAGCCCCTCCCCTCAGTCCCCGCTCTGTTATCTCTTACCTTTTGTCTCTGTCTTCACTTTCTCTGTCCTAGCTCTGTCATCCCCAGCCTTAGACCCTGCCCTCATTCTGGACTCTGGATTAGAACCTCAAACCTTCTTACCCGACTCCTTTCACTCTCCCCAGAACCCTCCCTCCCTTTCTCTGGACCCCACGTGGCCTGGGTCAGGCCTTGCTGTCCCCTTTACCACCATTGGGGGTGGGGGGGGGGGCAGCTCTAGGTCTCCGCAGAAAACATTCCTCCCCACCCCTGCCTGAAATGATACAAGAACTCACTGCGTTCCTCATTTGTTGATGATGATTTTTTAAGAAGTATTAGACCACCTTAAACATTTCTCCTGGTTTGATAAATGCAACCAGAGAGAGAATTTTGTTCAGCAGTCCTCCAGTTCTCTACAGCAAGTGAAGCCTAAACAGGGAGCATACTGCTGAGCAAAGGTATGGGCCTCCGCCACAGAACATCTCATGCAGCTGAGATGGAGGAAGGGTTCTTTAGAGGCTACTGAGCTCCTCCAAATGCACTGATTTTCAGATGATGTCTTGTTGATGGCATCAAGCTCTGGAGTCATAGGACCCCCTCCATGAAATTCGTTCCCATTCAGAAGTGATCAGGCTAACAATTCAATAGGAAAAGCCAAACGCAAGAAGATGTGCCTATTGCCCAGGTCCATTATGTCAGCCTGTCAGCACACACATCTTGAATAGGCACTGTAGATGGGTAAGGAGTTAGACCCACGTTCGGAAGAAGAGAGGGATTGATTGAATTACATTTAGGTCTGGCACTCCTAATCATCTGTTCCCTGACAGACGTAAAAGCCCACCTTTGAACAAAAAGCATCTTTCCAGTGATCCCCTGTGTCTATGCGACATGGAATACCCACATTCCCCCCAAAATAAAGATGGGAGACTCAGGGCAGTGGAGACATACATGGTGGGTGTAAGATGGCTACAGCATATTGAAGATTGGTTTAAGAGTTATTCAGGAAATGGAGCATCGGAAGAGGCAGATAGGGCCCATAGCAAGTGAAGGATAGACAATCCAGATGCTGCATTGATAACCCACAGAATGTGGACATGGGGTAGCTCCTCCGTAGAGGGTTTTTGGAAGTACGTGGATGCCAATAGAAAAGGATGAGGAAGGATTGAACGAGTGGCAGTGCACACTGCTAGAGAGAGTACCCCAACTGACAGCAGAGCTCCACCAAGAACTTTTTAAAAAACACGTTCACTTGAATAGCATAGAAATGATGTCGTCCTATGTTTCTGTGTCCACCTACATACTACTTTACTC